GACCTCGTATTTCAACTGAGCTGATGAACAGTCCAGACATGAAGACTCACCAGGTTGCTAGCCAAAACAGTCCTCTCTAATATTGGTTTTCCTTTCTAGCCCTCTCTAGCAGAGCCAGCAGTTGCACCTACATTTCTCCTCTCTTCAGAAAACAGCAGAGTTATTTCCATGGAGGTCTGTGGCCAATCTCTAGTATGGGACTATTTGCATTTGCTTAGAGTGTCATGCATGGTTTAATTCCCAGCAGGGAGATGGGCACAGGCAAATACTTTGACAATGCATATCACTGGTGCATTTCCTAAACTTAGAAACATTCTGCTCCTGTCTGGAATAAGGAGGCTGTTTACATTGGAAGCCTCTTGGAAATTGGGAAAGATGTCCAAAGTGGCAAGCCAGAATGGTTATAAGATTCAGCATCCCCGCCCCGCCCCCCGCCTTTGAGGATTTTTATTGGATTCCAAAAATGACAGGATTATATATTTAAAGACAGTTGAGTAAATCAGGGTGGACAGACTTTACACTGGGGGTTTACTTTTTGTTTTGTTTTGATTTTTTGCTCGGATCTTGAGATCCACTATTCTCAGTCTGTTGCAAAAGACCATTAAAAAATCAAAATCCAGTAACAGAATTGAACGGAATAGATAGTCCTTCCACATTCAAACAAAATCCATACTCGCTTACCACATGTTTCCGTCATTTCATTATTGCGTGTATTTCATCGGTCTAAGGAAGCCCTTTTCTTGCTGTTGCTGTTAAACGCTTCGGAATCAGAAAGCTCTCCTGATCTTCTGACAATCTACCAGAAAGTCAACATCTACTTCGTATCCCATTTAAAACTACCTAGTGGTTGGTTTCCTGGAAGCATCTGGTTAGCCACTGCAAGCAACAGTGTGCGCCAAATTAAATGAACAGTTTGATTTCTGCAGGGATGAGCAAAATTTGGGGATGAGAGCTGCCTTCTTTCTGCTGGAGGCTATGGAGTGGGCAGTATTTAGATACTCAGAAGGATCCAGAACTAAGAGTGAGAAAAGGACATTTATCTTCTCTCTGACGCCATCTTTTTACTTCTGCTGACCATGTCTTCTTTCTCTTTTTCTTAAACAGAAAGGAAGAGAGAGAAAGCTTTGACCAGAGTTCTGAACTGAACTTTAAAGAAAGGAGCTCTTGACATTGGGCTAAGCCTCTCGGCTTGCCCCCTCCTAGCTTCAGGGATAGGAATAATCAATACAAATCTGCTCATTAAACAGGTTCTTGCAAAGATGGGGTAACAACATTTTTCAACATCTTGAAAAAGACCAGGTGCTTATAGAGAAAGAAAGTGTTCCTCCTTCTCAGCCTACGTGTTATTTATTGGGCAGCATTGACTCGTGAGACCAGCAACGAAACAAAGATGGCTAAGAGAAGAATATAATAAAAACCACTATGTATTATTTTTCCAGTAAGGCTTTTAATGGCAGCATTTCTTGGAAGCGTTTGCTCCCAGGATCCATAGAACAAGAAGTATCGTTTTTAAGCAAAAAGAAAGATTTTATCCATGAAGTGTTTAGGGAGGAGAACACTTTCTTTATGGTATGAGTTTTGAGCAGCGTTTGTTGGTGGAAAGTCATGGTATGAATAAAATAAGCAACAGTCGCGGAGGCTACAGGTAACTCTTAAGGCTATTCATCAGCACTGTGAGGAGCTTAGCCTGTTTCATTCCATTTCTGTAGATAAGCAAAACCAAACACACACACACACCACATCCATTCAGTTCAGCTGGGCTTGCATGGGAGAAAATGGCTGGACAGTTTGATGAGAGACAGAGACACAACCGATTTTCTTTTCTTATGTTTTCTGCTGTTTAATCCTTGCCGTTATGACAGAATGAATCCAAACAACTCATCACCTAGAATGTTAGTCTGTTCCTTCTTCCCCACTGACTGAAGGCATCCAGAGGTGAAATAGAAAGGAAGGAGATTGTTCATATGCTTCTCTCTACTGCTGCACCCCTTACCCCAGTGTTGTCCAAACTTGGCCACTTTAAGATGAGTGGACTTCAACTTCCAGAATTCCCCAGACAGCCATGCTGGCGGGGGAATT